GAAGATCCACAGATTCATTTCAGCCGCTCAACTGACCCACGCTAACACAGTTATGCGGTTGTGCCCTACGGTACACATTCTCAAGCAGAAGAGTAAAGCCTGAAGTCTTGTATGTAAGTTCATGGCTATACAGCTAAATAAGCTGACTGGTGGAGAACTTTGACTCTGGGCTCCCAGCTGAGCATATAGGTATCTGAATGTACCTGGTAGGTTTCAGTGTGCCTTGTTTCTGGAAGCCAGATTTGACACTTTGGGCCTTAGTTGCTTGTTTAGGCATTTAAATAGAAATTACTAAGCACCATTGCTTCCTACTGGCTTCAATAGGATGTGAAAGCTAGGCTGCTATAGCTTAGGTGCCCCAAAGCAGGGAGTAGGAAGCAAACCTGAGATTCAGCGCTCCCAAAATTCTTAACTTCATGGTATAGTGGGACAGTAAAAATTGCTTCTGATATTGAAATTAATCTTGGGTGTTCATTGTTAAATTTTATCACTATTCTGCAATGGATTATAGCATGCGGGACTTTCTACAGGGAGATATAAGAACTCTTCTTGAAAAAAGGGTGGCTTTTTTCTCATCAGTTCTAGCATGCAGGAAATATTAAATCAGTCAATGAACCTTTTATCAGTAGAGGTATAAGAGCATAAGAGAACCTCTTATCATATAAAGTCAGTATCTCTATAGCTAGCAGAAAAAAAACCCAACTCAGTTGCACAAACTGGTTTTGAATCAGTAGGGTGCACTCATACTAACTTTTCAAAATCATGATTTCCGGGTAAAGTTAGCTCTACAGAGAAGATTAGACACACAGAATAAAATAATTTTGTGTTCTTTCCACGCATAAAAATCAGAAAATAAGCATGGCAAAATAATCGTATGCCAGTGCAGTGGGAGACTGGAGAAGATTTTATAGCCACTACAACTGTTATGTCTGGGATCTGATTATACTTTTAAATATACCAATACATTCAAATTAATACTTCACATACACTCCAATATTCTGAATGCTGTGTATAAGGATATCTTACTGCGGGACAATGAAGAATGATGGGAGTGTTCACTCATTTGGTATGAAATAATTACAGATGAAGTACTAACTCAACTTTTCCAATATCCTACCATTACATGTTCAGACTTTACAAAGTGAGCAAATCATACCTGCCATGACAAAACGGATAAGG